ATTAAGGCAACAAAATTTATCTATACTTAAAAAGAAATTCAAAAAAGTTGATAGTGATATAAACAATGACTAGATAAAGAGTAGGAATTGCAATTCACTTAAGGAAAAACAACTATGGCTAACTGTGAGATTCTAAATACATATCTTCTCTAAAGGAAAAAAGGACTAAAACAGTTATCAGTTATCCGTCATGAATACATAAGATCAGGAGATCATCATTTGAAACTATGTTTGATGTTAAGTGAGGAGAAATAATAGATTTATGTATCTTTAAATGCCTGGTGAAAATGAATCAGTGTCTCAACATTCTTTTTTCCTTCTATGGTTGGTTACCTTTTAGTGTTTTTTTTTTTTTTTGTCTGTGCCAAGAATAACCAATCACATTGCAACATATTTAGAAAACCTCAAGGAAAATCTTAATGAACACAATTTCTACACTACCATTAATACCAAAGGAAACAAAACAAAAATCAATACGTTATGTAACCTACGATATAATGAGAAAACTTCATTCACTGACAAATTGATGAAGTATTAGAGTAAGTTCAAAGTAATACACAAGAGAATAGAAGCTTTTCAGTTATGATCACTGGACTACTAAAATTCTTTTTAACAATAATTAATAAATTAATTTTTAAAAGTTTAAAGATGACTTTAGAAACATCAACGGCTATCTTTGTAAAAGGAGATGCTGGTAGTGAATATCTAATACTGCTTTTTTCAAAAATATAATGTAAATTATTAAGTATTTTAATAACAAAAACAACAATAATGAAAATAGGCCTTTGAAACACTAACAACACTCATATTGCTTTTCTTTGCCCTGTTGTGTTTATCATCCTGTTCTCTATAGCTCCTGTCTGGCTGCTTTTTTCTCCTTGTTTCAAAACCACAAGGAGATTAATATGCATTTGGGGAGGTGAGAGTAAAGATAATGAGGCTATGTGAGTCATTTAGGAATCTTTAGTGTGGCAACAACAACAACAAAAAAAAACCCAAAAACCCACTTTTCAGTGAAAGAACAAATTCTAGAAACTACACTGTAATTACTTCAAATACAATCTTGCTTTACTATTTAATGTTTCTTTGTTAGTTACACGAATGCTCTCCAGTGAATGGAGCGGAATACCTAGACAAGAAATTAACAAAACAGTGGTACCTGCAGATCTTGTCAATGTGAGTCCTATAGTTCTAATTCCTCAGTGTCCTTATTCAAAAAGCAGTCTCACTGAGATACTACAAATTTAGATGCTTTCTAGCACAGGCTGAGTTTGCTAGACTAAACACCACAGGATGAAGAGATTACATTACTGTTGCTGTGGCAATTATTAAGGGGTATACCAAACAATATGTATATTAATATACTGTTGAGTTTGTCTTACATATATTTGCAGATGATTTGTTTTGTTTAGTTATCACAAGAGTTGATTTTATTTTAATGAAAATAAACCAGGAGATCAGGGTAACAGATTTTAGGCAGTATAATAGTGGAAAGAAAGAAGCTGCTGAAATGGTGTGGACAGACCTTATTCTGATCAATGCCATTTCAGAGAAGACTGGAGAGGATAACAGTTTAATTCTTTTCTTACTAGGTATATTTTGGGGTCTCTTTTAGTGGGGTAGAGGGGGATACACAGTATAACAGGCATATGGTTTTCACAAACCTTTATAAACAATGTGCATCCAATATTTTTTTCTTTAATTAATTAATTTATTTTGAGAGAGAGCGAGAGGGAACAACTGAGAGAGGGGCAGAGACAGAGAATCCCAAGCACGATCCAGGCTGAGTTTGCTGCAGGGCTTGATCTCTGGACCATGAGATTGTGACCTGAACTGAAATCAAGAGTTGGAGGCTTCAATGACTGAGCCACCCAGGTGCCCCCAGTCTTTTTCTTCATGGATTAGAACAAATATTGTTATAATGTCTATACTACCAAAAGCAATCTACATATTTAATGCAGTCCCTATCAGAATGCCACCAGCATCTTTCACAGAGCTAGAACAAACAATCCTAAAGTATGTATGGAACCACAAGACCCTGAATGGCCAAAGCAATCTTGGAAAGGCAAAGCAAAGCTAGAAGCATCACAATTCTGGACCTTGAGCTATATTACAAAGTTGTGGTCACCAAGACAGCATGATGATAACACAAAAAACAGACACATAGATCGATGAAACAGAATAGAAAACCCAGAAATGGACCCACAACTCTACGGTCAACTAATCTTCAACAAATTAGGAAACAATATCCAATGGGAAAAAGTCTCTTCAAAAAACGGTGTTGGGAAAACTGGACAGCAACATGCAGAAGAATGAAACTGGACCACTTTCTTACACCATACACAAAAACAAATTCAGAATGACTGAAAGACCTAAAGTGTGACAGAAAACAAGCAAAATTCTAGAGGAGAATATAGGCAGCAACCTCTTTGACCTCAGCTGCGGCAACTTTTTACTAGACATGTCTCCAGAGACCAGGGAAACAAAAGCAAAATGAACTATTGGGATTTCATCAAGATAAAAAGCTTCTGCAAATCAAAAGAAACAATCAACAGAACTAAAAGGCAGCCTATGGAGTGGGAGAAGATATTTGCAAATGATATATCTGATAAAGGGTTACTATGCAAAATGTGCATCCAGAGTTAACATGCACTCCCCACCTCAGTATCTTCCACATCAGTGTGTGTGTGTGTGTGTGTGTGTGTGTGTGTGTGTGTGTGTGTGTGTGTGACATGAGAAGCAGCATAGGACAGTGGTTAAGAACCCACACTTGGTTGCTAGACTGCAAACTATTCACTTGCTGTGCAACCAATGGGATATTATCAATCTCAAATTAGTGATTATTGTCAGGATTAAATGTGTTTATCAATGTAAAGTTCCTACAGTGGTGCTTGGCACATGAAAAGTGCTCAAAGGTGTTAGCTGTTATTACATGTGTTCCCAAAGTAGACATGTACTTTTTTTTTTTTTCAACGTTTATTTATTTTTATTTTTGGGACAGAGAGAGACAGAGCATGAACAGGGGAGGGGCACAGAGAGAGAGGGAGACACAGAATCGGAAACAGGCTCCAGGCTCTGAGCCATCAGCCCAGAGCCTGACGCGGGGCTCGAACTCACGGACCGTGAGATCGTGACCTGGCTGAAGTCGGGCGCTTAACCAACTGTGCCACCCAGGCGCCCGACATGTACTTTTAAAATATTAGATTAGGTAAGTACACCAAGTAGGTAAATATGAAAGGAAAATTATATTCTTAAATCTAACAGATACTAGTTTAAGATGCTTGCCCAAATTAATTAACCATTATTTTACTGTCTTCCACCCAGATAAATCCCATTTTTATGAGTCTCCAATTGGGAAATAATAAAAACCTCATTCTCTAGGAATCTAAAAACAATTCTTATTTTTTTTAATTTTTCCTTCAGAAATGAATTTTTGATTTTATAAACTTTTTAAAGTTTGTTTATTTATTTATTTATTTAGAGAAGAGGGAAGGAGGGAGCAGAGGAGGGGCAGAGAGAAGGAGGGAGAGAGAATCTTACACAGGTTCCATGCTGTCAGTGCAGAGCCCAAAGAAGGGTGTGAACTCATGAACTGTGAGATTGTGACTTGCTCCAAGATCAAGAGTCAGATGCTCAACTGACTGAGCCACCTAGGTGTTCCTAAACTTTTTTTTTTTTTTTGATAGCTGCCTTGTATACTTTAATTCTCTACTCTTTTCTATAGAGCAAACAACAGAAAACTGATGAATACAGGATCCATCCATTTAGTAACAAATTATTTCCTGACTCACTCAATGTATGTGGCCTTATGCTGCACAAAAAATCCACACACTAGTTTCTCAAAGGAAAAACACTGAAAAATTGGAAACTGTGAATGGGATATTGAAGCCTATTGAGAATGACAAGCAATAGGAAGAAAAAAGCTAATAAGTGAACTATCTCAGAATCAGTGAATGTATAAGAGAAGGACCTTAGAGACATTATACAGTCGAATGGTTCTTAACTCTTTAAAACAACACCAATGTACTGGAGGGGTAAGATGACATAAGGTATTCTTTGTAGCATATATCTTTTTTTTTAATGTTTATTTATTTCTGAAGGAGGGGGGGAGGGAGGGAGGGGCAAAGAGAGAGGGAGACACAGAATCAGAAGCAGACTCCAGGCTCTGAGCTGACAGCACAGAGCCTGACATGGGGCTCAAACCCATGAACTGCAAGATCATGACCTGAACTAAAGAAGGATGCTTAACTGACTGAGCCACCCAGGCGCCCCAATTTTGTAACATATATCTTGACTAATGTGCTAACAAAGTTTTGTGGGAAATTATTATATTTAAATTCAACAAAGACAAAAAATGCATATATAGTATGCCAAAAGGAAGATGGAGAAAATACTCCTAATAGTAACTAAGTTCAATATTAAATTTAGTTTTCAGCTTCTTGGCCAAAAAGCAAAAATAAGCACAGTATAGTTTTTGTTTTTTTACCATGTGATAAATCTAGTTGTATTTTTTTTTGCAAGGAGAAAGGGGAAGGAGTTGAACAGCTTTTCTGACATTAATTCTAAGAGAACTTAATCATGTGTTTTTATGTAAAGAAACCTCAGAAATATCATGAATTCAAGAAGAATGACTCAATAAGCAATAAGAAAAGCTTTCAATTATAATTCAAAGAAGTTATTATATTGAAGGACAGGGTGATCACCTGACTGCTAGCCTAGCATATACCTATTATCCTGACTTACATATTAACAGTGACTCATTCCATTTTCAGAAGTATCCAAGTTTGGAAAATAAATTACATGGGAAACTTGGTCCAAATATGTTGCTCTGTAGCGATCTTGTCTGGTAGAAGAAAAGACTTCATAAATGATTTCTACCAAATTTCTAGAGGCCCTGGATGGCAACCATTTAAGACCCAAATTAAAAGAGAATGTATGAAATAATATACGATACAATCTCTTTGTATTAAAAAGCAATGTAATAATGTCATGAAACTTACACTCAGAATTGAAAGCAGTTCTTCAGTACCACATTCAGGTTTCAAACGCTCTTTGAACATTTTAACTGTTTGGTGCTTCAAGTAGTAGTAAGAGGCAATGCGGCCATATGTCAGAGGTTCAATGCTCCGATTATCCTATTTCAAAAAGAAAGATAAAATGACAAATAAAAAGTACAATAGAAACACATACATTCATAAAACTAATAGTTCTTACTGCAGGTTGCCGTTGCAACAATTTTGTTAAAATGTTTAGTTACCATGAGAAGCAAAAGCCCTACTGTTAAAAAGCTGGGCAATCTTTTCATTTAGAATGTATATGACTCAGTCATACCTCTCCAATTTCAATACAGTAGGAAAGTTCCAATTCAACCAGAGACTTCTCAACCAGACTGGACAGAAATTTATTCACAGAATCATGGCTCACATCACTCAAATTGTAGTAGCTAGAAAACAAGCAAGGTCATTATCACTTCAATTTTCCCTCATTCTCTTCTTTTCAGAATTTCAAAGAACAATTACATGCACAGCAAATCAAGGAAGTAAAAGAACTGCAACAGCCAGTTTCATCTTACAGGGCAAAATTCCCACACTAAGATTGGTTGACTCCGATGAACAATGGTAATAACTATGGAAGATAAGCAGATAAAATTCAGCATCACATTAAACAGACACTAACTTTCTAGAAACAGAAGCAAATCATATATAAATATATAACCCCCTTTTATATATAAAAACCCATCCTCAGTAACTTTATAAAACTCAAAGCACTATTGATTTGAGTAGCAGATGAATTCTTTTAGGAAATTTAGTCATTGATTGTTCTTCAAATGCCTAATGACTACATGTCACCCTAAATATGGGGAAAGACATCATCAAGCTAACAAGAAAGCATTTGAACTAAGCTTCTATAGACAAAAGCCACACAGGTTCAGCTCTGTATATTTTCTAAGTAAAAAGTCTAAGGACATGCAATTCATCTGAATGCTCTTCCTTCTAATTCCAAAGGTTCTTGGCAAATCCCTAAGATTACTAGGAATCTGTGCCTGGGAACAGATCCAAAGGGTGACAGAATGCCCCTACATCATAGCAGATCTCTAATTCTTGGTGGGTGAATCCTGCACCCCAGTCAGCATAGAGAATTATATCTCCTCTCTCCATCCAAATCAAGTAACAGGCGTGTAAAGCGGCCTCAGAACAGACTTTCATCTGTACAGACTGAAGCCCAGAACAAGGGTTGTACACCTGCACAGGACTAGAAAGGGGATAGTCATAGTCTGGAAAGAAAGTGTTAAGAATCTCAAATGGGAGAGGCCTGACGGAAACCACAAGTGATCAATATGGTGATTTTTTTTTTTCTTTCTTCAAAGGGAAAGATTTGAGGTCAGTATACAGCAAAAATTCATTTAAAAATACACAAAGCAGGACTTAAATGATGGCAGGATATACTTTCAGCAGAAAGAGAAGATTAAACAAAAAGCTAGGTACACCAATATGAGAGTCTCCACTAAGTAAGGATTAATAATAGACTATTTAGGAAACTCTGTAAATCATAATTAATTGCTGAAGATTTTAATTTTCACAAATGAGAAATAGTTACTTTCAATCTTAGTCTGCAGAGAAATTACTGCCTTTCCTGGAAAAGTTGATGTCATAGACCAAAATAAAGCAATATTTATCAATGAACAGATAAGTATTGAAACTATTGTTAATTTAAACAAAATGTACAAAGTTTTTTTTTAATGTTCAGTTACTCATTTTGAGAGAGACAGCAAGATCATGCTGTCTACATGAGTTTTTATGCAATTAAAATTACAGAAGGAAGGCTTTATGAAAACAGTATTACCATGAAAAACAAAAGTTAAAATACCATTTTTGTCTAAAAATTTCCTAGGCCATTTGAAAACGTAAAGTCTCATATTCCCCTACAAATATTAACTAATGACAACTTTACCATTTTTATGCTTTAACAAATTTAGTATGTTTACAAATAATATTTAAAATCATCTTTGAAAAAGACTTTCCTTCAAAAATTATAAATTCTTTTTAACAGTATTTATTTTGGTCACTGTTTTATTTAGCTACAGGGTATATTTTGATGGGCTAATATCCTTTCTAATGTTTTTCTAAGTCTACTGGGAAATTTTTAAGACTGATTTGAAGCTTCTATCCAGATAAAGAACAGTCAGGGTAAACATTTCTTAAACATTTAAAATAAGTTGCAAAAAAGAAAAAAAAAAAACCTAAAATCATGTCTCTAAGACTACAACAAATTATTTGATGATCATATTATTAACAATCTTATTTGATAAAAATTAACACAATTTTTAGAATAACTTTAAAAACTTCCATTGATATTTTGTCTTAATATGGTTGTTCTTTTCTAATGTGCTCACCAACATCTCATATTGACTTGCCCAAGAAATGCAAAACTTCAACTTAAGTAATTGAATTGACATTTAATTTACTCAATATCAACACTTTTATCCTTATGATTTCTGAGGATAATCTGGAATTTAAAAAAAAATCCTAAATTTTTTTTTCAGATATTCTGGCATATGTAAATGATAACTTTTTAAAATTTATTTTTAGAAAGTGATAACTATTTAAAAAATAGAAAGTGCTGGTTAAAATACTACACTCAAGAGTAGGAAATTCTCAATCATTAAAAAGTTGTCTTCTGGGGTGCCCGGGTGGCTCAGTCGGTTAAAAGTCCAACTTTGGCCCAGGTCACCATCTCACGGTTCGTGGGTTTGAGCCCCGCAGTGGGCTCTGTGCTGACAGCTCAAAGCCTGGAGCCTGCTTCGGACTATGTGTCTCCCTCTCTTTCTGCCCTTCCCCTGCTTGTGTTCTCTTTCTCAAAAATAAATATTTAAAAAAAAATTAAAAGTTGTCTTCTAAACACCCAACACAAATACTAAAATGCCTATTTTTGTTGTGATATAACTTTACTAATTAAACTATTATTCTTTGCTAACAATTGATCTAAGGTTACTTAAACCACTTAAAAATCCTTATAAAAGTAAGATTTGCTACATCTCAATTAGATATATAATTTAACAAGACACTGTAAAATGAACAAAATGTAAATGAAATTATTGTTTAGGTCACATAAAATTTTAGGAGATAATATATTCTGACACTTTCCTGGGAATAAAGAATGGAGTTTATATTTACATGATCTTCATTAGCATTATAGGGCCTTTGCTTCTATAGCATGAACTTTTTAGTCACTGGGTAATTTCTAGCCTAAATAATTATAAGTATTTAGTTTAAAACATTATATATCATTAATTTCAATAATCTCTTTACTAACTTGAAAAGCAAGCAACAGCTAAGTTAAAGGTCTGTTTTCATGTTGCACTCTCCACAGTACAAAATTTATAATTTACTGGTTACTAAAACAGAAATATTACACAACTGTTTAATTATAGATAAAGGATACAATGTAGTTTCATGCTCTCTGCATTGGATCATGAAGTCATTATCTTCTCTCTGCCATAAACAGACAGCCTACCTTTTTGTCAGCATGCTATTTCATTTATTTCACAGAGAAACCCAGTTTCACAATAATTGACTTGTCAGAAGCTCTAATTTATGAGGCTGAGCTCTGTAAGATTTCTCTGTATTGGACTCAACCTGCACACAAGCAGGGTTGAATATTTACAATGCTGTTAACAGGTGCTGAGTTGTTTAATGATTCTAATAGCCAGAAGCGTACTGAGAAAGCCAGCGGGATCACAATTACAGGCTGTTTGAACACAACAATTACTAGTCCCCTGGGAGGTGTGAAAGTCAAAGGCAGTTGGATACTGACAGCATCTAGCACATGGGCTAGACAAGCTAACTTCTATTAGCAGTCCATTGGGAAAAAGTCATAACAAACCTCTCCCTCTCATAAAAATTTACAAAGTTCATTAAATTTAAACAATCCCAAAGTAAAACAACTTAAAAAAATTAGCTTTAAGAGCTCTTGTCAAAGGACAAACAGGAATACCACACATGAAACCTCAAGTTCTGTTTTTCCAACCTCAGGAAGGATAGAATTTTGCTAGTTGAGAATGAAAGAGATTTTATTGTAATCTAAAACATAGATAAAGTTACACCAAACAGTCTGGATTTAATGTGAATAGTGGCAGCCATTTCCTGTTTAGTTATTGTAAACCTGGCCAGAGATCTTGCTGGGAAATTTTTCATCAGTATTGAAATGCTGCTGCTATAACTGTCAGTACTGGGAAGTCATTTGTTACGGCACCATGTTTTTTTATGTTCAGATTATGCAGCAGTAATAATGACACAAATAATGAAAGTGGTTGCAGGGACAGCTGAAACTACCACAACATTTTTTGCCCCAGAAATATTTAAAAGCTTCCTCAGGGGAAAACAGAGAGTGAAATTGAACATACAAATTGAATCCAGAACTCAATTTGGAATATATTATATTTCATGATGCACCAGTACATGTGTTTATGTACATTTGAAGTAACTAATGTAATTGTGTCTACATATATATTTATACATGTAAATGTATCTTCATATGCATGTGCATGTGTTTGCATACATATGCATATCACACACACACACACACACACACACACACACACACACACTATAAACATACAGAGAACAATCCAGGAACAGTGGCAGAATCTTTGTCAACATAAGTTCCACTTTTGGTGGTGGTGTGGTGGGGGTTCTTTATAGTTGTATGATTAAATGAAGCGGGTTGGGGAATTGGGTCGTATTTATTATCTATGTATGACTGTATTTTGAAAGCACTCTTTGTCTTGTCTATTTTAAATAAATATATGTGTGTGTATATATATATATATATATGCAGTCCTCTCCCACTAAACCAAAAGTAAAATCTCAATTTATGACAGTTAATATATTAAGATATATTAAAACTACATATAATATAAGCGCTTCATTTGAGACAATGATTTTAGCCTTCTTAAAACTTTTAACAGATTGGGGCACTTGGGTGGCTCAGTTGGTTGAGTGTCTGACTCCTGGTTTCAGCTCAGGTCATGATCTCAGTTTCGTGAGTATGAGCCCCATGTCAGGCTCTGCGCTGGCAGGAGGGAGCCTGCTTGGGATTCTCTCTCCTTCTCTCTCTCTCTCTCTCTCTCTCTCTCTCTCTCTCTCTCTCCGTGCCTTTCCCCTCTTGCACTGTCTCTGTCTCTCTCAAAATAATAAACTTAAAAAAAAACAACAACCTTTAACATCTAAAAATAAGTACGAAAAATTTACCAATTTCCAGAACTCTTGTGCCTTTCTTTGCTTCCAGATCACAGAAAAGGGGAGTTTAACACAGACAATAATAAAAAGATACAATCAAGGACCAATCACAAAGAAAATTGTAGAACCTCACTGTAGCAGACTAAATAAAATACATGTCATTAAAATTGATTTAGGCACATGTTTCCATTTTTATCCAGATGTA